AGTTACACACACACACAGTTACACACACACACAGTTACACACACACACAGTTACACACACACAGTTACACACACACAGAGTTACACACACACAGTTACACACACACAGTTACACACACACACAGAGTTACACACACACAGTTACACACAGTCACACACACACAGTTACACACAGTCACACACACACAGTTACACACAGTCACACACACACAGTTACACACAGTCACACACACACAGTTACACACACACACAGTTACACACACACACAGTTACACACACAGTTACACACCTAGAACAACCACGTGGTCACACACACAGTTACACACAGTTACACACACACAGTCACACACACAGTGTTACACACAGTTACACACACACAGTTACACACAGTTACACACACACAGTTACACACACACACAGTCACACACACACACACAGTTACACACACACACACACAGTTACACACACACACAGTTACACACACACACAGTCACACACACACACACACAGTCACACACACACACACAGTAACACACACACAGTTACACACAGTCACACACACACAGTTACACACACACACACACAGTCACACACACAGTTACACACACACACATAGTCACACACAGTCACACACAGTTACACACACACACACACACAGTTACACACACACAGTCACACACACACACAGTTACACACACACAGTCACACACACACACACAGTTACACACAGTTACACACAGTTACACACACACAGTTACACACACACAGTTACACACACACAGTTACACACAGTCACACACACAGTTACACACACACCTAGAACAACCACGTGGTCACACACAGTCTCACACACACACACACAGTCACACAGTTACACACACACACACACCTAGAACAACCACGTGGTCACACACAGTTACACACAGTCACACACAGTCACACACACACAGAGACACACACACAGTTACACACACACACACCTAGAACAACCACGTGGTCTCACACACACACACACAGTTACACACACACAGTCACACACACACACACCTAGAACAACCACGTGGTCACACACACACACACAGTTACACACACACACACACAGTCACACACAGTCACACACACACCTAGAATAACCACGTGGTCACACACACACACACAGTTACACACACACACAGTCACACACACACAGTTACACACACACACACAGTCACACACACACCTAGAATAACCACGTGGTCACACACACACAGTTACACACAGTCACACACACAGTTACACACAGTCACACACACACACACCTAGAACAACCACGTGGTCACACACACAGTTACACACACACACAGTTACACACAGTTACACACACACAGTTGCACACAGTTGCACACACACACAGTTACACACACACAGTTACACACAGTCACACACACACACACAGTTACACACAGTTACACACAGTTACACACACACAGTTACACACACACACAGTTACACACAGTTACACACACACACACAGTTACACACACACACACACAGTTACACACACACAGTTACACACACACACAGTTACACACACACACAGTTACACACACAGTTACACACACACACAGAGTTACACACACACAGTTACACACAGTCACACACACACAGTTACACACAGTTACACACAGTTACACACACACACAGTTACACACACACAGTTACACACAGTTACACACACACAGTTACACACACACAGTTACACACACAGTTACACACCTAGAACAACCACGTGGTCACACACACAGTTACACACACACAGTCACACACACACAGTGTTACACACAGTTACACACACACAGTTACACACAGTTACACACACACAGTTACACACACACAGTCGCACACACACAGTCACACACACACACAGTGTTACACACAGTTACACACACACAGTTACACAGTTACACACACACAGTCACACACACACACAGAGACACACAAAGATCAAAGATCCCCCGTATAGCCTTGACAGACTGTAGGGGCAAGTGCTGTTAGCGAGCACCTATGAAGGCCGGAACGGTACACGAGGGGGTGGGTGGCCAGCACCAGGCCCGACCGCCTTTGTCTCCCCAGTGGCGATGTTTACTACACACCGCACCAGGTACTCATTTGAGGCTGAGTCGACCTAGGGGAGGCCCGGGACCGGTTCAGATAATCGTCACTGGTGTTGGCCGTGAGCGGGAATCGAACCCGGGTCGCCAGGTTCATAGCACAGCGTAGCGCTAACCGGTACACTGTGTGTGTACACTGTGTGTGTATGTAACACTGTGTGTACACTGTGTGTATACACTGTGTGTGTACACTGTGTGTGTACCACTGTGTGTGTACACTGTGTGTGTACACTGTGTGTGTATGTAACACTGTGTGAACACTGTGTGTGTGTACACTGTGTGTATACACTGTGTGTGTACACTGTGTGTGTACACTGTGTGTGTACCACTGTGTGTGTAACACTGTGTGTGTACACTGTGTGTATGTACACTGTGTGTGTGTACACTGTGTGTGTGTGTGTGTACACTGTGTGTGTGCGTACACTGTGTGTATGTACACTGTGTGTACACTGTGGGTGTGTCTATGTGTGTGTACAGTGTGTGTGTGTCACTGTGTGTGTGTACACTGTGTGTGTGTGTGTGTACACTGTGTGTGTGTGTACAATGTGTGTGTGTGTACACTGTGTGTGTGTGTGTACACTGTGTGTACACTGTGTGTGTACACTGTGTGTGTGTACACTGTGTGTGTACACTGTGTGTGTGTACACTGTGTGTGTGTACACTGTGTGTGTATATACTGTGTGTACACTGTGTGTGTGTACACTGTGTGTGTGTCTATGTGTGTGTGTGTGTGTACACTGTGTACACTGTGTGTGTGTAAACTGTGTGTGTGTACACTGTGTGTGTGTCTATGTGAGTGTGACTATGTGTACACTGTGTGTGTGTGTACACTGTGTGTGTGTCTATGTGTGTGTGTGTGACACTGTGTGTGTGTACACTGTGTGTGTGTGTACACTGTGTGTGTGTGTGTGTACACTGTGTGTGTCTATGTGTGTGTCAGCACTGTGTGTGTGTGTCACTGTGTGTGTGTATGTGTGTGTGTGTACACTGTGTGTGTGTGTACACTGTGTGTGTGTGCACTGTGTGTATACACTGTGTGTGTACACTGTGTGTATACAGTGTGTACACTGTATGTAACACTGTGTGTGTGCACTGTGTGTGTACACTGTGTGTGTGTACAATGTGTGTACACAGTGTGTACACTGTGTGTACACAGTGTGTAAACTGTGTGTATACACTGTGTGTACACTGTATGTGTGTGTACACTGTGTGTGTGTACACTGTGTGTGTGTACACTGTGTGTGTGTGTGTACACTGTGTGTGTGTGAACACTGTGTGGTGTGTGTACACTGTGTGTATACACTGTGTGTGTACACTGTGTGTATACAGTGTGTACACTGTGTGTACACTGTGTGTATACAGTGTGTACACTGTGTGTACACTGTGTGTATACAGTGTACACACTGTGTGTGTATACACTGTGTGTGTGTACACTGTGTGTGTATACACTGTGTGTGTGTACACTGTGTGTGTACACTGTGTGTGTGTACACTGTGTGTGTGTACACTGTGTGTGTGTGTACACTGTGTGTGTGTGAACACTGTGTGGTGTGTGTACACTGTGTGTATACACTGTGTGTGTACACTGTGTGTATACAGTGTGTACACTGTGTGTACACTGTGTGTATACAGTGTGTACACTGTGTGTACACTGTGTGTATACAGTGTACACACTGTGTGTGTATACACTGTGTGTGTGTACACTGTGTGTGTATACACTGTGTGTGTGTACACTGTGTGTGTATACACTGTGTGTGTGACACTGTGTGTGTGTGTGTGCACTGTGTGTGTATACACTGTGCGTGTGTATACACTGTGTGTGTGTACACTGTGTGTGTACACTGTGTGTGTGTACACTGTGTGTGTACACTGTGTGTGTGTGTGTGTATACACTGTGTGTGTGTGTGTGTACACTGTGTGTGTGACACTGTGTGTGTGTATACACTGTGTGTGACACTGTGTGTGTGTACACTGTGTAACACTGTGTGTACACTGTGTGTGTGTAACACTGTGTGTAACACTGTGTGTGACACTGTGTGTGTGTGTGTACACTGTGTAACACTGTGTGTACACTGTGTGTGTGACACTGTGTGTGTGACACTGTGTGTGTGTGTGTGTATACACTGTGTGTAACACTGTGTGTGTACACTGTGTGTGTGTGTGTATACACTGTGTGTAACACTGTGTGTGTACACTGTGTGTGTGTGTGTATACACTGTGTGTACACTGTGTGTGTGTGTAACACTGTGTAACACTGTATGTAACACTGTGTGTGTGTATACACTGTGTGTGACACTGTGTGTGTAACATTGTGTGTAACACTGTGTGTGTGTGACACTGTGTGTGTGTAACACTGTGTGTGTGTGTACACTGTGTGTATACACTGTGTGTGTGTGTGTACACTGTATACACTGTGTGTGTACACTGTGTGTGTGTAACACTGTGTGTACACTGTGTGTGTGTGTATGTAACACTGTGTGTGACACTGTGTGTGTACACTGTGTGTGTGTATACACTGTGTGTACACTGTGTGTGTGACACTGTGTGTGTGTGTGTACACTGTGTGTGTGTGTACCCTGTGTGTGTGTGTACACTGTGTGTGTGTACACTCTGTGTGTGTACACTGTGTGTACACTGTGTGTGTACTGTGTGTGTGTATACACTGTGTGTGTGTGTGTGTGTACACTGTATACACTGTGTGTGTGTGTATACACTGTGTGTACACTGTGTGTGTGTGTGTACACTGTGTGTGTACACTGTGTGTATACACTGTGTGTACACTGTGTGTGTGTGACACTGTGTGTGTATGTAACATTGTGTGTGCTACACTGTGTGTGTGTGTGTGTGCCCACCTTATTGATGTCGTTGCTGTAGTCGTCTGTCTGCTTCTTGTAAGCGCCATCAATGGCTGCGAGTTCCCCCGGATCGCCGCTCAGGTGGGCGGCTTGAAGCATCTGGGACAGCGTATCACGGGACACGTCGCTACCGAGATTCAGCGCGGAGCGGACAGCCTGGGAGAGAGACACGGGGAGAGAGAGACACACGGGGAGACACGGGGAGAGAGAGACACGGGGTGAGAGAGAGACGCGTCGCTACCGAGATTCAGCGCGGAGCGGACAGCCTGGGAGACAGAGACACACGGGGAGAGACAGAGACACGGGGAGAGAGAGACACGGTGAGAGAGAGAGACGCGTCGCTACCGAGACTCAGCGCGGAGCAGACAGCCTGGGAGACAGAGACACGGGGAGAGAGAGACAGAGACACGGTGAGAGAGAGACACGGTGAGACACGTGGGGAGAGAGAGACACGGGGTGAGAGACGCGTCGCTACCGAGACTCAGCGCGGAGCGGACAGCCTGGGAGAGAGACACGGGGAGAGAGACACGGGGAGAGAGACACGGTGAGACACGTGGGGAGAGAGAGACACGGGGTGAGAGACGCGTCGCTACCGAGATTCAGCGCGGAGCGGACAGCCTGGGAGACAGAGACACGGGGAGAGAGACACACGGTGAGAGACACGGTGAGACACGGGGAGACACGGGGAGAGAGAGACGCGTCGCTACCGAGACTCAGCGCGGAGCGGACAGCCTGGGAGACAGAGACACGGAGAGAGAGAGACACGGGGAGAGAGACACGGGGAGAGAGAGACACGCGGTGAGACACGGGGAGAGAGACACGGGGAGAGAGAGACACGCGGTGAGACACGGGGAGAGAGGGACGCGTCGCTACCGAGACTCAGCGCGGAGCGGACAGCCTGGGAGACAGAGACACGGGGAGAGAGACACGGGGAGAGAGACACGGTGAGACACGGGGAGACACGGGGAGAGAGAGACACGGGGAGACCCGGGGGGAGACACGGGGAGAGAGACACGGTGAGACACGGGGAGACACGGGGAGAGAGACGCGTCGCTACCGAGATTCAGCGCGGAGCGGACAGCCTGGGAGACAGAGACACGGGGAGAGAGACACGGGGAGAGAGAGACACGGGGAGAGAGAGACACCGGGGAGAGAGAGACACCGGGGAGAGAGACGTCGCTACCGAGACTCAGCGCGGAGCGGACAGCCTGGGAGACAGAGACACGGGGAGAGAGACACGGTGAGACACGGTGAGAGAGAGACACGGGGTGAGAGACGCGTCGCTACCGAGACTCAGCGCGGAGCGGACAGCCTGGGAGAGGGACACGGGGAGAGAGAGACACGGTGAGACACGGTGAGAGAGAGACACGGGGTGAGCGAGACACGTCGCTACCGAGATTCAGCGCGGAGCGGACAGCCTGGGAGAGAGAGACACGGGGAGAGAGAGACACGGGGAGAGAGAGACACGTCGCTACCGAGATTCAGCGCGGAGCGGACAGCCTGGGAGACAGAGACACGGGGTGAGAGAGACACGGGGTGAGAGAGACACGGGGTGAGAGACACGTCGCTACCGAGATTCAGCGCGGAGCGGACAGCCTGGGAGAGAGACACGGGGAGAGAGACACGGGGAGAGAGACGCGTCGCTACCGAGATTCAGCGCGGAGCGGACAGCCTGGGAGACAGAGACACGGGGAGAGAGACACGGGGAGAGAGACACGGTGAGACACGGGGAGACACGGGGAGAGAGACGCGTCGCTACCGAGACTCAGCGCGGAGCGGACAGCCTGGGAGACAGAGACACGGAGAGAGAGAGACACGGGGAGAGAGACACGGGGAGAGAGAGACACGCGGTGAGACACGGGGAGAGAGACACGGGGAGAGAGAGACACGCGGTGAGACACGGGGAGAGAGGGACGCGTCGCTACCGAGACTCAGCGCGGAGCGGACAGCCTGGGAGACAGAGACACGGGGAGAGAGACACGGGGAGAGAGACACGGTGAGACACGGGGAGACACGGGGAGAGAGAGACACGGGGAGACCCGGGGGGAGACACGGAGAGAGAGACACGGTGAGACACGGGGGAGACACGGGGAGAGAGACGCGTCGCTACCGAGATTCAGCGCGGAGCGGACAGCCTGGGAGACAGAGACACGGGGAGAGAGACACGGGGAGAGAGAGACACGGGGAGAGAGAGACACCGGGGAGAGAGAGACACCGGGGAGAGAGACGTCGCTACCGAGACTCAGCGCGGAGCGGACAGCCTGGGAGACAGAGACACGGGGAGAGAGACACGGGGAGAGAGACACGGGGAGACACGGGGAGACACGGGGAGAGAGAGACACGGGGAGACACGGGGAGAGAGACGCGTCGCTACCGAGACTCAGCGCGGAGCGGACAGCCTGGGAGACAGAGACACGGGGAGAGAGAGACAGAGACACGGTGAGAGAGAGAGACACGTCGCTACCGAGATTCAGCGTGGAGCGGACAGCCTGGGAGACAGAGACACGGGGAGAGAGAGACACACGGAGAGAGAGACAACAGGAGAGAGAGACAGAGACACGGTGAGAGAGAGAGACAGAGACACGGTGAGAGAGAGAGACACGTCGCTACCGAGATTCAGCGCGGAGCGGACAGCCTGGGAGACAGAGACACGGGGAGAGAGACAGAGACACGGAGAGAGACACGGGGAGAGAGACACACGGGGTGAGAGAGACACGTGGGGAGAGAGAGACACGCGGTGAGACAGAGACACACGGGGAGAGAGACACGCGGGGAGACACGGTGAGACACGGGGAGAGAGAGACACGGGGAGAGAGAGACACGGGGAGAGAGAGACACGCGGGGAGAGAGACACGGGGAGAGAGAGACACGGGGAGAGAGAGACACGGGGAGAGAGAGACACGCGGGGAGAGAGACACGCGGGGAGACACGGTGAGACACGGGGAGACACGGTGAGACACGGGGAGAGAGAGACACGGGGAGAGAGGGACACGGTGAGAGAGACACGGGAGAGAGAGACACGGGAGAAACAGGGGGAGAGAGAAACACGGGGAGACAGAGACACGTGGGGAGAGAGAGACACGTGGGGAGAGAGAGACACATGGTGAGACACGGGGTGAGAGACGGGGTGAGAGACGGGGTGAGAGACGGGGTGACACGTGGGGAGAGAGAGACACGGGGAGAGAGAGACACGGGGTGAGACACGTGGGGAGAGAGACACGGGGAGAGAGAGACACGGGGAGAGAGACACGGGGAGAGAGAGACACGCGGTGAGACACGGGGAGAGAGGGACGCGTCGCTACCGAGACTCAGCGCGGAGCGGACAGCCTGGGAGACAGAGACACGGGGAGAGAGAGACACGGGGAGAGAGAGACACGGTGAGACACGGTGAGAGAGAGACACGGGGTGAGAGACGCGTCGCTACCGAGATTCAGCGCGGAGCGGACAGCCTGGGAGAGAGACACGGGGAGAGACACACGGAGAGAGAGACACGGTGAGACACGGTGAGAGAGAGACACGGGGAGAGACACACGGAGAGAGAGACACGGGGAGACAGAGACACGGTGAGAGAGAGACACGGTGAGACACGGGGAGACACGGTGAGAGAGAGACACGGGGTGAGAGACGCGTCGCTACTGAGACTCAGCGCGGAGCGCACCGCCTGGGAGACAGAGACACGGAGAGAGAGACACGGGGAGAGAGACACACGGTGAGAGACACGGGGAGAGAGACACGGTGAGAGACACGGGGAGAGAGAGACACGGGGAGAGAGACACACGGTGAGAGACACGGGGAGAGACACGGGGAGAGAGAGACACGGGGAGAGAGACACACGGTGAGAGACACGGGGAGAGAGAGACACGGGGAGAGAGACACACGGTGAGAGACACGGTGAGAGACACGGGGAGAGAGAGACACGGGGAGAGAGACACACGGTGAGAGACACGGGGAGAGAGAGACACGGTGAGAGACACGGGGAGAGAGAGACACGGGGAGAGAGACACACGGTGAGAGACACGGGGAGAGAGAGACACGGGGAGAGAGACACACGGTGAGAGACACGGGGAGACAGACACACGGGGAGAGAGACACACGGTGAGAGACACGGGGAGAGAGACACACGGGGAGAGAGACACGGGGAGAGAGACACACGGTGAGAGACACGGGGAGAGAGAGACACGGTGAGAGACACGGGGAGAGAGAGACACGGGGAGAGAGACACACGGTGAGAGACACGGGGAGAGAGAGACACGGGGAGAGAGACACACGGTGAGAGACACGGGGAGAGAGACACGGGGAGAGAGACACGGGGAGACACGGGGAGAGAGACACACGGTGAGAGACACGGGGAGAGAGAGACACGGTGAGAGAGACACGGGAGAGAGAGACACGGGAGAGAGAGACACGGGAGAAACAGGGGGAGAGAGAGACACGGGGAGACAGAGACACACAGTGAGACACGGTGAGACACGGGGAGAGAGAGACACGGGGAGAGAGACACGGTGAGAGAGACACGGTGAGAGAGACGTCGCTACTGAGACTCAGCGCGGAGCGCACCGCCTGGGAGACAGAGACACGGAGAGAGAGACACGGGGAGACACGGGGAGAGAGAGAGTGGTAGTTGTGGTAGTTGTGGTGGTGGTTGTGGTAGTTGTGGTAGTTGTGGTGGTTGTGGTGGTGGTTGTGGTGGTGGTTGTGGTGGTTGTGGTGGTAGTTGTGGTGGTGGTTGTGGTGGTGGTTGTGGTGGTGGTTGTGGTGGTAGTTGTGGTTGTGGTGGTAGTTGTGGTAGTTGTGGTGGTAGTTGTGGTGGTAGTTGTGGTGGTAGTTGTGGTGGTAGTTGTGGTGGTAGTTGTGGTGGTGGTAGTTGTGGTGGTAGTTGTGGTGGTAGTTGTGGTGGTAGTTGTGGTGGTGGTTGTGGTGGTGGTTGTGGTGGTGGTAGTTGTGGTGGTGGTTGTGGTGGTTGTGGTGGTAGTTGTGGTAGTTGTGGTGGTGGTTGTGGTGGTGGTTGTGGTGGTTGTTGTGGTAGTTGTGGTAGTTGTGGTGGTTGTGGTGGTAGTTGTGGTGGTAGTTGTGGTGGTTGTGGTGGTAGTTGTGGTGGTGGTTGTGGTGGTGGTTGTGGTGGTGGTTGTGGTGGTTGTGGTAGTTGTGGTGGTGGTTGTGGTGGTTGTGGTAGTTGTGGTGGTGGTTGTGGTAGTTGTGGTGGTTGTGGTGGTGGTTGTGGTGGTTGTGGTAGTTGTGGTGGTTGTGGTGGTTGTGGTGGTTGTGGTGATAGTTGTGGTGGTAGTTGTGGTGGTTGTTGTGGTGGTTGTTGTGGTTGTTGTGGTGGTTGTGGTGGTTGTGGTAGTTGTGGAAGTTGTGGTGGTGGTTGTGGTGGTTGTGGTGGTTGTGGTGGTGGTTGTGGTGGTTGTGGTAGTTGTGGTGGTAGTTGTGGTGGTAGTTGTGGTGGTGGTTGTGGTGGTAGTTGTGGTGGTAGTTGTGGTGGTTGTGGTGGTTGTTGTGGTGGTAGTTGTGGTGGTAGTGGTGGTGGTGGTTGTGGTGGTGGTGGTAGTTGTGGTGGTAGTTGTGGTGGTAGTTGTGGTGGTAGTTGTGGTGGTAGTTGTGGTTGTGGTGGTAGTTGTGATGGTAGTTGTGGTGGTAGTTGTGGTGGTAGTTGTGGTGGTGGTTGTGGTGGTGGTTGTGGTGGTAGTTGTGGTGGTAGTGGTGGTGGTGGTTGTGGTGGTGGTGGTAGTTGTGGTGGTAGTTGTGGTGGTAGTTGTGGTGGTAGTTGTGGTGGTTGTGGTGGTAGTTGTGGTGGTAGTGGTGGTGGTGGTTGTGGTGGTGGTGGTTGTGGTGGTGGTAGTTGTGGTGGTAGTTGTGGTGGTAGTTGTGGTGGTAGTTGTGGTGGTTGTGGTGGTTGTTGTGGTAGTTGTGGTAGTAGTTGTGGTGGTAGTTGTGGTGGTTGTGGTGGTAGTTGTGGTGGTAGTTGTGGTGGTTGTGGTGGTAGTTGTGGTGGTAGTTGTGGTGGTAGTTGTGGTGGTAGTTGTGGTGGTGGTGGTAGTTGTGGAGATAGTTGTGGTGGTAGTTGTGGTGGTTGTGGTGGTAGTTGTGGTGGTAGTTGTGGTGGTTGTGGTAGTTGTGGTGGTTGTGGTGGTAGTTGTGGTAGTTGTGGTGGTGGTAGTTGTGGTGGTGGTTGTGGTGGTAGTTGTGGTGGTGGTTGTGGTGGTGGTTGTGGTGGTTGTGGTGGTGGTGGTTGTGGTAGTTGTGGTAGTTGTGGTGGTGGTTGTGGTGGTTGTGGTAGTTGTGGTGGTGGTTGTGGTAGTTGTGGTGGTTGTGGTGGTGGTTGTGGTAGTTGTGGTGGTTGTGGTGGTTGTGGTGGTGGTTGTGGTGGTGGTTGTGGTGGTAGTTGTGGTGGTAGTAATGGTGGTGGTTGTGGTGGTGGTAGTTGTGGTGGTAGTTGTGGTGGTAGTTGTGGTGGTTGTGGTGGTAGTTGTGGTGGTGGTTGTGGTGGTAGTTGTGGTGGTTGTGGTGGTAGTTGTGGTGGTGGTGGTTGTGGTGGTTGTGGTAGTTGTGGTGGTGGTTGTGGTGGTTGTGGTAGTTGTGGTGGTTGTGGTGGTTGTGGTGATAGTTGTGGTGGTAGTTGTGGTGGTTGTTGTGGTTGTGGTTGTTGTGGTGGTTGTGGTGGTTGTGGTAGTTGTGGAAGTTGTGGTGGTGGTTGTGGTGGTTGTGGTGGTTGTGGTGGTGGTTGTGGTGGTTGTGGTAGTTGTGGTGGTAGTTGTGGTGGTAGTTGTGGTGGTAGTTGTGGTGGTGGTTGTGGTTGTTGTGGTGGTTGTGGTTGTGGTGGTGGTTGTGGTTGTTGTGGTGGTTGTGGTGGTTGTTGTGGTAGTTGTGGTGGAGGTTGTGGTAGTTGTGGTAGTTGTGGTGGTGGTTGTGGTGGTTGTGGTGGTTGTGGTAGTTGTGGTGGTGGTTGTGGTAGTTGTGGTGGTTGTGATAGTTGTGGTGGTAGTGGTTGTGGTGGTTGTGGTAGTGGTTGTGGTGGTAGTTGTGGTGGTAGTGGTGGTGGTGGTTGTGGTGGTGGTAGTTGTGGTGGTAGTTGTGGTGGTAGTTGTGGTGGTAGTTGTGGTGGTTGTGGTGGTTGTGGTGGTAGTTGTGGTGGTGGTTGTGGTGGTAGTTGTGGTGGTGGTTGTGGTGGTAGTTGTGGTGGTGGTTGTGGTGGTTGTGGTAGTTGTGGTGGTGGTTGTGGTGGTTGTGGTAGTTGTGGTGGTGGTTGTGGTGGTTGTGGTGATAGTTGTGGTGGTAGTTGTGGTGGTTGTTGTGGTTGTTGTGGTGGTTGTGGTAGTTGTGGAAGTTGTGGTGGTGGTTGTGGTGGTTGTGGTGGTTGTGGTGGTGGTTGTGTTGGTTGTGGTAGTTGTGGTGGTAGTTGTGGTGGTAGTTGTGGTGGTAGTTGTGGTGGTGGTTGTGGTGGTAGTTGTGGTGGTAGTTGTGGTGGTTGTTGTGGTTGTTGTGGTGGTTGTGGTTGTGGTGGTGGTTGTGGTTGTTGTGGTGGTTGTGGTGGTTGTTGTGGTAGTTGTGGTGGAGGTTGTGGTAGTTGTGGTAGTTGTGGTGGTGGTTGTGGTGGTTGTGGTGGTTGTGGTAGTTGTGGTGGTGGTTGTGGTAGTTGTGGTGGTTGTGATAGTTGTGGTGGTAGTGGTTGTGGTGGTTGTGGTAGTTGTGGTTGTTGTGGTGGTTGTGGTAGTAGTTGTGGTTGTTGTGGTAGTTGTGGTAGTTGTGGTGGTTGTGGTGGTTGTGGTAGTTGTGGTAGTTTTGGTGGTTGGGGTGGTTGTGGTGGTTGTGGTGGTGGTTGTGGTGGTTGTGGTGGTTGTGGTCGTAGTTGTTGTAGTTGTGGTGGTTGTGGTAGTTGTGGTGGTTGTGGTGGTTGTGGTGGTTGTGGTGGTTGTGGTGGTAGTTGTGGTGGTGGTTGTGGTGGTTGTGGTGGTTGTGGTGGTTGTGGTCTCACAGCGTCACCGCAGTGGTGAGACGCGTGGATGATCTTCAAGCGCTCCTCATCAGCTGCCTCCTTCACCAAAATATCCTCCACCCCTACACAGTGACACACACAGTGAGTGTGACAACAACAACAACAACCGCCATTCGCCACTAAGTGGCGGTGACGTCACCACGACGCTTGTGCCAGGCTATGTGCACCCTGAGGCCACGTGAAGTGTCGAACGCCCGCTGGCAGGAGGTCACGGGGCAGACCCAGGTGCCACGGGTCGACTGACTGAGATGACTGGCTGATGCACCACCTGTGCCCCCTACTGTGCCAACCTGCTGTGCTTTAGCCACCCGGCGCTCCGCTCGCTGTTGTGAGCGTCGCTCCTCCGCCCTCCGCTGTTGTTGGAGGGCGACTGCCTCCAACTGCCCAGTAGCATCCTTCACGAGCCTCCTCCACAGAGGCCGATCTTGACACCGCTGGTACCAGTCATCGGCAAGTCCACTCAGCTCCACGTCCTCCTGTACCACATCACTCCATCTCTTCTCTAGCCCGTGCCGCGCCCGCTTAGCCCCCTCAATCCGGCCAAACAAAAGCTGTTTCGGCATGCGGTGGCTGGGCATGCGGGCTACATGACCCAGCCATCGCAGCCTTGCCTGCCGGAGGAGCTCACCGATGGGACCCTGCCCAGATCTTTCAAGGATTTGTGAGCTCCTCACGCAATCCAGTCTGGTTAAACCCAGGATGGATCGTAGGCAGGCCAGCCTAAATGTTTCTAACCGGCGAAGATGTTCCATTAGGGGGGTCCACGTTTCGCAAGCGTAGAGAAGGGAGGGAATGACCGTGGCCGAGAAGACCTGAAGCTTAGTGCGGAGCGACAGACCAGGTAGCTTCCACACAGCGTTACGCAACCGATGAAAAGATATTGCCGCTCGACTGATTCGGAGTGAGACCTCTGCTGTTAAACTGGAGCCAGTCATAAGCACACTGCCCAGGTATGGGAAACTCTCCACTCTCTCCACAACTGCCCCATCACCGATTGGGAGTTGTGGGGGTGGAGTGTCCGATGGTACAAAATACCCAGGCAGGTGCTTAGTTTTGGTGGGGCTGATGGTAAGGCCCCACCTCTTAGTGGCACGCTCCAGTCTCAGCAGCAGCGTCTCCAACTCCTCCTCTGACTGAGCAGCTATTACCAAATCATCAGCATACATAACGTGGTTGAGCAATAGGGAGCCATCCCTTGACCGCACCCGGGCATCGATTAGCCTCCCATTATATCTGTACCATATGGAGATTCCCCCGGTACAGCTATTGAAGGCTTCACGAACTACGTGGTCAAAATAGATGTTAAATAATGTGGGAGCCAGAGGACATCCCTGTCGCACCCCAAGGTGTACAGGGAATGGCTCTGACTCCCGGCCACGTAGTTTTACCCGGGCCCGCTCACCATCATGAAGGTCCTTAATGATCGTGAGCAGAGGGTCAGGTACTCCAAAAGCACGAAGAACGACCCAGAGCCCAGGCCTACTGATGGTATCATAGGCCTTGACCAGGTCAATAAAGCAGAGATGTAGGTCTTGTTGGAATTCCCTACACCTCTGTTGTAGCAGACGGACAGAAAATATGGCATCTGTGCAGGACCGCCCTTTCCTGAAACCGCATTGGGGCTCCGCAAGCCTCTCCTCAGCGTGCCTGGCAAGGCGATGCTGAATAATCCTTGCCAGGACCTTTCCCGGCACACTGAGGAGTGAGATGCCCCTGTAGTTGTTACAGTCTGTGCGGTCCCCCTTCTTAAAAAGGGGGACCACCAGGGCATCCTTCCAATCCTGCGGAACCCGTCCAGTGGTCCAGACTGTTGTTATGATGTCATATAGGGCAGTCTGTGCACAAACGCCACCCTCCCTCAGCATTTCGCTTGGGAGATCATCTCTGCCCGCTGCCTTTCCTGGTCTCAGACTCCGGATCGCCTTCAATACTTCCTCAGCAGATGGCACCTCAGCCAGCCACTCACAGGGGGTGACTTCATCCAATATTTGAGGCACCGCAGCCTCAGCAGGGTCATCCTCACTTTGTGCCACGATGTTTTCCTGGCTGAGGGATTTTCCCTCCCCCAGGACCTCACAGAAATGCTCAGCAAATCTGCGAACCTGTTCCTGGGGGTCGGAAATTGGATCACCGTTTTTTCCCCTAATGATAGTAATAGGTGTGGCGCTGCAGGTTACTTTTTTGATGGAGTTAAATAGAGATTTGTGATCACGGGCCACTGAGGCAGACTCCATCTCCTCAGCAACCCGCGACCACCACCCATCCTTGCAGCGCCTCACGGCTCTCCGAACCTCCGAGCGGAGGCTGCGGTAAGCCTCCTCATTCTCTGACGTGGGATTCTGTAGCCGATGACAGTGGGCCTGTCGCTTTTTCTCAACCATCCTGAAAAACTCCTCTGTCATCCAGGGTGTCTGGGGAGGTCTGGACCGCGTACCCAAAGCAGCCATTGCAGCTGCATGAGTCACAGTCCTAAACCTCGCCCATTTACCCTCGACATCAGGAGGAGTCGGGGACGATGCCAATCCCAGCCGCAAGCGATGATGAAATTCTCGTTTGCAACTTTCATCAGATAACTGAGACCAGGCCACTTTAGGTTGGAATGGGGTCCTGGGTGTACACCCACCACCGGAGTGGAAGAATGGCAGGCGCATCTTACAGATGACTAGTCGATGGTCAGAGGGCAGATCAGCTCCACGGTAGGTCCTGGTGTCAAGGACATGGGCTCGCATTCGCTGGTCCGTCACTATGTAGTCCAGCAGATGTTCTTGCTTGGACCCGGCATGCATCCATGATGTTGTGTGGATGCGCCGATGCCGGAACAGCGTGTTGGTAATTACAAGCCCATGGGCTGCACAAAAATCTAGCAGCCTCCTACCGTTGTTATTGAGCTGATCTGGCCCATGCCCTCCAATCACTCCAGACCAGGTGCCAGTATCATGACCAACTCGGGCATTGAAGTCACCCAACATGATGACTCTATCCCGAGGGGCCACTTTAGCCAGCACCTGTGACAGGAGGTCATAGAAGGCATCTGACTCATCGGCTTTGCCTGCATCCCTCCACGGATGTTCATCTTCGGTGGGGGCATAAGTAACCACGACCACCATTCCTCGCCTCCGGTTGATGGGAAGGCGAGCCCAAAGTAGCCTGGGGCTTACAGCTTCCCACACCTCACCGCCACGCTCCCACGCCCCCTTCATTCTTTTGTTCAAAAGAAGACCCACACCCGGTTGTTTGGCAGTCTGCTGCCCCGAGTAGAGGACTGTCCACCCCTCATGGTGGCAGGAGCCAGAGCCGGTCCACCGGACCTCCTGAATGCCGCATAGATCCAGGCGGTACCGGTCCAGCTCCCGACAGAGGAGTGGCAGCCTCTCCTCTGCAGTGAGCGTTCGAACATTCCACGTGGCCACCCGTAGTGGCTTTTCGTTGTTTCTGGAGTAGCCCCGAGGGTAGGTATTCAATCTCCTGGCTCCGCCAATTGGGGTTTGGCCAGGAGACGTCATAGACGCCTGGCCCCCCAGGGCCTCCGGCACAAGCTTAGTTATTACATATTTCAGTTTAATTCGTGGTTTTGTGGTAATTAATTGAAGGTGGAGGGGTTACCAGCCCCTCGCACCCGTCCAGAGCCCCTGTTTAGCCCCTGTGGTGGACACAGACGCCATGAGGGGAGGAGCCAATCGAAATTGGATCTCCCCCCACAGCGCTGTCCACGACAGAGTTGCCCGTCCGGCACCGCGAGGAGGTAGGGGGTTGTGACACACACAGTGACACACACAGTGACACACACACACAGTGACACACACAGTGACACACACACACAGTGACACACACACACACAGTGACACACACAGTGACACACACACACACAGTGTGACACACACAGTGACACACACAGTGACACACACACAGTGACACACACAGTGACACACACACACACAGTGACACACACAGTGACACACACACACAGTGACACACACACAGTGACACACACACACAGTGATACACACACACAGTGACACACACACAGTGACACACACACACACAGTGACACACACAGTGACACACACACAGTGACACACACACAGTGACACACACACAGTGACACACACACAGTGACACACACAGTGACACACACACACAGTGACACACACACACAGTGACACACACAGTGACACACACACACAGTGACACACACACACAGTGACACACACAGTGACACACACACAGTGACACACACACACAGTGACACACACACACAGTGACACACACAGTGACACACACAGTGACACACACACAGTGACACACACAGTGACACACACAGTGACACACACACACAGTGACACACACAGTGACACACACACAGTGACACACACAGTGACACACACACAGTGACACACACACAGTGACACACACAGTGACACACAGTGACACACACAGTGACACTCACACAGTGATACACACAGTGACACACACACAGTGACACACACAGTGACACACACACACAGTGACACACACACACACAGTGACACACACAGACACACACACAGTGACACACACACACAGTGACACACACAGTGACACACACAGTGACACACACACACAGTGACACACACACACAGTGACACACACAGTGGCACACACAGTGACACACAGTGACACACACACAGACACACACACAGTGACACACACACACACAGTGACACACACAGTGACACACACACAGTGACACACACACACAGTGACATACACAGTGACACACACACAGTGACATACACAGTGACATACACAGTGACACACACAGTGACACACACAGTGACACACACACACACAGTGACACACACAGTGACACACATTGACACACACAGTGACACACACAGTGACACACAGTGACACACACACACACAGTGACGCACACACAGTGACACACACACAATGATACACACACAGTGATACACACACAGTGACACACACACAGTGACACACACACAGTGACACACACAGTGACACACACAGTGACACACACAGTGACACACACACACAGTGACACACACAGTGACACACA